TTCTTTGCACTGCGTAGATGAACATTCATGTGCGGATACGCTGCTTTCTTCATCAAAATCAATCCTCTACGTTTGAATACCAATTAATGTTGAACCATACTTTTTTCTACAGGAAAAGTTGCAGATAATTTCGGCAGCGCTGAAAAATCCGAATGATCACACAAAGCTATCACTGCTTTTCGCTAATAAGGATGAATCGGATATTCTGTTGAGGTTAAAAATCTTGTTTATTTATGGTTTTCAGGATAGAATTAGATTTGCAAGCACAAAATTCTTCAACAGATCTGCCTTCATTTATCACTTTATGTCCTGCACCATTTTAGCTTTGCAATTACACTGTCTTAAATGCACAAATTGTTGTATACATACAAAAGATTGATAAATTTCTAGAGATGAGTTGGATCGCTTAGCTGAGAAGCATTCAGACCGATTCCAAGTCTGGTATACAGTTGATCAGCCAACATCTAACTGGAAATACTCACAAGGTTTTCTTTTTTTTTGAATTACTGCCACTTTATAGTCTTGAGGTAGTAGTCGTCGAGCAGGGTAAACAGAGACTAATACAGAGTCAAAAATGTTGATTTGGCTTTTTTCGAGGAAAAGAGAAACACTCATTTCTGGCTTAAATGAGGGTAGTTTCCTAATCAACACCAGTAAAATCAAATCGAAGCCAGTATCTGTTTCACTTCGCCCAGAGAATGGCTCACCAGAATCGTTCATTGTGGTAAAGGATTAGTCGAATTTATTAATCGAAATAAATCATTATTTCTTTGATAAATTTTTTCTTCGAAGGGACTAGGCCAGTTTATTGGTAAGCAGCTATGCAGCTTGATTCCGGGAATATCTAGGACGGAGATGGTTTTGCGTATAACAGAGTACAGGCCAGAGAAATCGATGGTAGGGAGATGTGACGGGTCAGGAGAACGAACTGAAGTATGTCCTCCTCCTTGTATAAAGCGCTTTATGATTTTCAGGGTTCGTTAATGCAAGCATGATCGGAGAACATCTGCCGAATCCCAGTGACGATACAGTGATTTTGATGTGTGGGCCGCCACCAATGATTAAATTTGCATGTTCACCAAGCCTTGATGAGTTACATTATCCAAGCAGCAGTCGTTTGATTTTTTAATTTTTCATGTTTTGGAATCCTACAAAAGCAGCGGATCTTGCTTAAGTTATTATAAATTTCTTTTCATGTCCAAATTGGGGGTGTTGTTCAATTTCAGTGGAGAAAAAAATATTTTTAATGTTAAAATTTTTTTCGGGTGATTTCTGCTGCTTTTGGTTTTTCTTCGGCATTGGCCGCAGTTTTGACTGAAAACGGGCACTTTGAAACTTTAGTGTTTATCAGTAGTAGTTTTACTATGCTCACTGATTACTGTTGTTGTTCAAATGTGTCATGGAACTTTAGACTAAAAGGCATTAAGCCTGTTTTTTCCAACGAGGGCTTCATTCTTCGAGAATCCATACCGTTAAACAAAGCAGTTGGCTTTTAAAAAGGCCTCAGATTAATAGTCCGTAAGACAGTTCTTATATGCATTCTACTTCTACAGGCGTTCCTCAACTCTTATTGGGGTTTCTGCAACGCTTGCACGGTTTTATGATGCTAAAGAAGAAAGTGGAGCATACTTTTGGTTGTTTTGATAAAGGCATTTTGAACAACTATATACATTTCGCACGTAAATGACAATATACCCTTCAAGCGTTTTCTTTTTTTTTTTATACGTTTTGTGCTGTGTAACAGCAGTACAAAACGCATATTGTTATTGGGTTGTCTGTGTGTTTGTGTGTGTGTGTGTATGTGTGTGTGCCCGCAGCAACTTGTCCGTAACTTTCAACTCGGGAACCACAAAAGCTAGGAAGCTGAAAATTTAAGGTAACGTTCCCCACCCACGTGTGACCCCGCAGATTTAAGTTCAACTTCCCCGTACCCGCGGGTAGCGCGTACGGCCCCGTGAAGGTTTTCACGTGTAAGTTAATATCTCGGGAACCACAGAGTCTAGGAGGCTGAAGTTTTAGGTTAATGACCCCCTGTCCGCCCTCAACCTTGCCCATTCAAATTCAGCCTTCCCTTACCCGCGGGTAATACGTATGGCCCCGTGAAAGTTTTTCACGGGTAAATCACGGGTAAGTTAATATCTCGGGAACCACGGAGTCTAGAAGGCTGAAATTTTAGGGTAATAACCCCTTGCCCACGTTCAGCCTTACTCATTCAAATTCAGCGTTCTCGCGCTCTCGGTTACCACCTACGGCCTCATGAAAATTTTGACGGGTAAACTATTAACTCGAAAATCACGGAAAGATATTCATCCTTCAAGGTTTCGAATTGAGCTTTCATACGCTGGTGCGTGAAATT